TACAAGGTATGTACAAAGGGGCTTCTGGAGTGGAATTCTAATCCCGCTTTATGAAAAGTAAACAAGCTACATGTACAATTATAATTTATGCCCTTTTGTGTATGTATGATTTTTTCCCCTCTTCCTCCCTGGCTCTCTAATTTGCCAAAACAAAAACATAGTAAATATTAACACATGCCTAAAAAAGAGGGTAACAATTTTCCTTTGGATTCCATAATTGTAAGAATCCTATATAAGCAAAAGGGTCTCTTATAAAATTTGTAAATTGAATTAACAATCCCAGAAATGTTTTCGTGGATGTCAAAGGCAGAAAACTAGTCATATCAGGATAGAAGGCTACAAATCACAAAGCCCAGTAATATAACTTTGTACCACATAGAGCATTACAGTGAAAAAGAACCCAGCTCTTATCACTGAAACTAGGTGAAGGATACAAACATGAGCATCACAGATAATTATTAGACTCAACAGTGCTATAATATTTGATGGATTCTATTATTTTAGAGGTTACATAATCAACTATATAAATATACATATTAAAACTGCACATTTGTGCTTGACACAATGGATGGATGTATGGATTGTGGTAAGAGTTGTATGAGCCCCTAATAAAACGATTTTTTTTAATGTGGAAGCCTGTAAAAACAAACAAACAAATGAACCGTGGAAGCCTTTTTGTTATATGTATATGCTAATTTTTCTTAATTTTTACTATATATTAACTAATGAATTTTGACATTCTCTTGTAAAGGATTACATAAAGGATAGTAAAGGATAAATGTCCTTTACTATTATTGAAAACAGAAAATTGATGCTACTAAGAAAAATGTTTATTAAATTGGAAAAAAAAAATCCACGGGTCTCCCAAAACAGTGTGGAAACAGAACAGAAGGATAAGTATACTCTAAGCATGCCACTCATTGTGTGTGTGTGTGTGTGTGCACATAAACTATAGTTGGTTCTTTCAAACATGCTTATCTTTATTTATGCTACCTCTGGACTTTGTTTCTATATTCACAAAGTGAGATTCTTCCTCATGTCCCCAAAGGTCCTTTTCTTTCTTACTATTAACAAGTTGATCCAGAATCTTTAAGGTCCAAAATCTTTTTAGCTAATCCTCTGGCTACTCTAATAATGCATTCTTGCTTCATGCTGTATTTTGAAACAGCAAGTTGTGTAGGCCATAGGTAATTTCAGTAACTTTAATATCCTTGAAAAATAAAATATAATAAAAAACCTAGGTATTCTGTATATGAAAGTGCCATTTTGTATTTTGGTTTAGCCATTACATTTACATATTTTTATGATGCGCTTCCATCTGTGTATGGCTCACTGACTCATTACTTCTATATACATCCTAAACAACTACAAGAACAAATGTCTGCCCACGAGAAAGAGAATACAGTTAAAGAGGAAAGAGAAGTGGATCCAACTTTAGTTAAGAATACTTTTAGATTTTACTACCCATTTCCAATATAGCATATTGCTCATTTATGAATATTTTAGGTAATTCATTAACTGTATATATGAGGAGCTCAACTCAGCAGGTACTCTGAACATACCACTATGTTCAGACATAGAGACAAATACAAGTTTAAAATGATGCATAGTTCTATGTGTAAAATAAGAGGCAGGCATAGCAAATGCAAGGGGACTTCAATAAGTGAAAAAGATGCCACAATCTTCGATTCCATTTTTCCATAAAATTTTTGGAGAGCCTTGGTTCATGGGATAATGATGCTTTTTTGTATCAAAACAAGTAGCAGCCAACAGTAACCAGCAAATAATATATATTAGTAAATTTAGAGGTTAAGAAAAGGAATGTTTAAAGGACATTAAGCAACTTTTCATCAGGTGTATGAGCATTCCAAGCAGATGCAGGAGACAAAGTTCAACAGTAGAAATTTATCCTGCTGCCACTGGCATTATTTTCTGAACCCATCTCAACTTTTGTCCCATCTGCAGAGTACAAACAAAACGACACAGCACAACACAACCATGGACCATCAACAGTGCTCGAGAAACCAACCACAACCCTGTTAGAAGAAAATCATTAGACTGTGGGCTCTTATTGCAGAAGAGGCGAGTAACAGTTCTCTGTCAGAAAACATTCTAGCTTCCAAACTTTGTCTAGCTGAGAAAGACTAATTGCCATGGCTCTTCTCAAAATGTTCACAGTGTTACTATCTCATTCGGGATGAAACCAAACACTACAATAAAGTATAAGGCCCCGCACCTATTTTTTTTTAAACTCCAAACTCACTGCCATCGAGTCAATCTCTTGTCTCGTTTCTCATCACTCTCACCCAGCTTACTCAGCAATAGCCAACAATTGTTGAGAAAACTCTGTCAGTATTTCCCCCCATGTTCATACAATTTAAAACCACAACGAGACGCCACTACAAAACCTACACTAAAAAGCTGTAATTAAAAGGACTGGTAATACCAAGTGTTGAACAAAACAGAATCACCACAAGTTTTATACATTACATTAGAAAAATGTTTGACAGTAGCTATTAAAAGTATATATACATACATACTCGATAATGTAACTATTCTACTGGATGTCAACCTCAAAGAAACTAGTGCTTACATCAACCAAAAGACAAACTTAACTGTTGATACATGCAACGTGGATGCAGATCACAGACATAATTTCAAGTTAAAAAAGCTAACACAAATAGAATATGTTGGATAATTCCATTTATATGAAGTTCAAAATGAGGCAAAAATAGTCTATATATAGTGATTACCTGTGCTTTTAATTAAAGGTATTAAATGGGAGACTGGAAATGTATATCTATTACCTTAATTGTGGAAAATATATAAGCAACACATTATGTGCTATTTCACTAATCTTCACACGTACATACAGCTTAACTCATTGCCATCCTGTCAATTATAATTTATAGCAACCCTCAAGGCCAGAGTAAAACAGCCTAATAGGATTTCCACAAAAGCCAACGGTTAACACTTTCGCCTGAGGAACAAGCTGTGGGGTGGAACTGCTGATCAGTTCTGGTCAGCAGCCAAGGCTTTACCTCCTGTGCCACCAGGATTCTTTACGGACAGTTGAGTGACACTAAACACATGTAAATGTTCTCTATCTTGATAGAGGTAGGTGATATACAGGTATAAACTTATCAAGCCATACACTTCTGTGCGCACTGTTGTATAAGTTATATATACCTAAGTTATAATGGAATGCATTGCATCTACTTCTCTGGGATCTTTCTGGCTTGATCAGGCTATTATTTACTTTATTCTACTTATATTGATTCTAAAGGAGCACTGCAGGCACTGTGGATTAACCAAGGTCAGTGGTTAAAACTCATCAGTTACCTTCCAAGAGAAAGAAGAGGCAGTCTGCTCTGATATATAAAGAGTTACAGTCTTGGAAGCCCTGTACAGGGTCATGAGGAGTCCTAACTGACTTGATGGCGGTGTGTATGATGACGAGATAATTCCTTACCTTTAACAAAGGGCAACTGCAAAGGTTGGGAAAGGAGAGCGGAAAATTAATCCCAAGAAGGAAATCCTTGTTTCTCAGATATCTCTGCTGGCTCTCCCATTCTGGGTCTCCCCAGGAGCGCAGTTGATGGAGCCTGTAGGAGGCTTTCAGAGACAGGAAAAGAGCTAACCATCTGAAACAAACCACAGCAGACATGCTTATTCAGTGCTCCATGGAGGTTTGAGGGTCGTTCATAGCAGTGAGGAACCTTCCCAGGTTTGTCATTAACATGACCCTGAGAATTTTAGAAACAGCTAATCATCTTACTTTCAGATAAAGCTGTTTCTTATTTTGCTCCATCATTTCTGTCATTGACAAGCATTGATTGATTACTATGGTATGCTACTTGGTTCATTATGGAGGAAAACTAACATCTTGCTAAAGCACCTCTCCTTATATTAGGGAGATAAGTAATAATGTGAATAAAAACCATTCTGCCCGAGTATAAGTACAGAATTAAGCTGCCCAGACAATGCTTAAAGAAGCCTATGCTGCAATCACCACTAACTAACCAAATGAATCAAAAGCCCCCTTTACCCCATGGAAGCCAGTAAAACTGAAAAGGCTTACTAGGAACTAAGGGACTTAAAGAACTGGTAGAATATGGGTGAGAGGTTCAAATAGTTTTATTTAATGTGTATCTTGAAACATCATGCAATTATTAAGTGATTTTTAAAATGATAAATTTTCTCTTATAAATTTCTATCTTAACAAGATATTCTCTAAAATTATACGCTATTATACTGAATTTTTAACTTTATACTATTCAACCCTTGTTGCTACTTTTTTTCTCATCAAATAATAAGGCAACTCACCTGGCCAAAAGTCCCTGAAGCATAAGGTTTGCCATTTCTGCTGGAGATACATTAATAAACCGAAGGAAAGAAAAACAGCTTTCTTCATTAACACCTGGAATATCAAACCAAACCAAAAGATAACACTCAAAGCCTGAACTGCAACATTTTCCCCAAAACAATAAAAACATTTATATTCTCAGGAATCCAACCTAGCCACTCTGATAGAAGTTACTTTTACATTGTTTCTTTACACAGGTAGTAGAGGTATAGCATATAGGCCAGACTAGAGTTGGTTTATCGATTATCTTTAGGGCTTTTGGTTCATCAGTTAATGGCCTTCTCTCTGTAACACGCCAGTAGAAATAAAACACCAGATGGACGTTCCAAACCCTTGGTTCTAGTATACTGACAGTGTTGCAAGTTCAGTAGCTCCTTTTTTCTAGGGAAAGGAAGAGGGAGCCAACTCCCTAGTAACTAATAATAGTGTTTTATATTCTCTTTGTCATGATTCAGGGGTATGACACTCTAAGAAGGGGCATGTGTAAAATATAGATGTGGATGGTCAATGTAAAATCATTTTCTATTGTTCTAGTTATAGCCGCAAACCAGTTTATAGATGAAAATTGCTAATTTACTTTTAGTAAGATTAACATTTTATAAATGAAGGGCTAGCTAGCATGCAGAGAAAATCACTACTAGCTCCAATTTGATCATTAAGAAAATAGCCTGGCTAGACCAGAGGATGTACACTGGTACAGATAGGAACTGGAAATCCAGGGTGGGTGATCCCTTCAGGACCAGTGGTGGGAGCGGCAATACTGGGAGGGTAGAAGGAGAGTGGGTTGGAAAGAGGGAACTGATTACAAGGAACTATATGTGACCTCCTCCCTGGGGGACGGGCAGCAGAAAAGTGGGTGAAGAGAGATGTTGGACAGGGCAAGATATGACAAAATAATAATTTATAAATTATCAAGGGCTCATGAGGGAGGGGGGAACAAGGAGGGAGGGGGATAATGAGGACCTAATGCCGGGGGCTTAAGTGGAGAGGAAATGTTTTGAGAATGATGAGGGCAATGAACGTACAAATGCGCTTTACACAACTGATGTATGTGTGGATTGTGATAGGAGTTGTGTGAGCTCCTAATAAAATGATTAAAAAAAGAAAATAGCACCCTGGTAAATCCTTGACATACCTTATTTCCCAAAGATCAGTACACCTACCTTTTCTGTGGAAGAGAGACTGCTGGATATAGTCTGGTGCAAATGGAGAAAGAAGAACCCTTAACCACCTGCAAAATAAACCCAACCAAACAAGTTATAAATATACGGAAGTTAACAAGACTGGGCATTCCAAACTGAAGAGAATATTTTAGATTGTAACCTGCTTTTACTATTCAGCTTTTAAAGTAGGTGTTGCCAAGTGGCCAGGCAAAAATTATGACATAAACATTAATAAGTACTAATAATTAATAGGTATAAGGAGATAACACAAGTTCAAAGGAGTATCATTTTACTTCGAAGTATTATAATGCCAGCACTGTAAATTATCACACATTCTAGTAAGTGAGGTGCACTGCAGCTTTGGTTGACTTTCCCCTAGCACAAACAACTCTTACAATTAAACCCAAGAAACGGGCCAATTTCAGCTTCATTAGGTTAAATATTGTTGGTGACGATTTTTATGGTACTGTTTTCAAAGAGGAAGGAGCTTTCTAATTGCCTTAAAACACGAGTGTGCCATAAGAATCCTCTGGTAGCCTGTTACAAAATTCCAGAAGCCAGGACCAACCTAACTCAGAGGAACACAGTAGACCACCTTTACCAAATCTGTATCACTAACTCTGAAGTAGGTCAATGCTTCAGATGAAGTTTGATTTGAAAGTCAATGAATTCTCTTACAAATGCCATTTCAGAGGTAAAATGAACCACTCGACCATAAATATGGGCAAAATACCAGTTTTTCACAAATGCTATATGCCCAGGTACAAACACCAAGTCCTTGGTTACGCACCAGGAACCAGTTTCAGCACTGGCGCAGGGGCACTTGTCATTCTTTCTTGGTGCGTATACATATTTGCATACAGGTGCACCTTCCTAAGTCAGAAAAGATGACAACTGGCAGTGAAGAGAGCCTTCATGACCAACTAGTTAACTCTTAATAGTACACAATTCCGACCACAAGATCCCTCAACAAACAGTTGTTCAATCTGTTTCCTCTGTTCCCTCATCTTCACTAAATTTATCTGGTACGCCATACCACACCAAGTTACAAAAGCGTGTATGGTTAACAGTACAGATAAACAGATGCACTCACCTATCTCGTGAATGATTGAAGACCCTGATCTGTCCATGACGGTAGATAAACTTTGAAATCTGGTATGGCTTTAGGGAAATATGAAATGGGGACCACGTTTCCTGCCGCTCAAATAACTCCGGGTGGTTACATACCTAAGGACAAGAAAGGGTAAGCGCATTTTCATGTGGAAACATCACTCTATGAAGTGATGAGAGATCTCAAATCCTCTGTGCATGTGCGTTTTCCCATTTTCATCTTTTTAACAGCATTGTTTCTCGTACCCTAACAAAGGCGCACTGACATTCTTCACATATCTGGCACTAACGCTAATTCTTGAAGCGAGTTAATAACGTGAGGTAATGTAAACTCTTACCTTTCGAAACTGCATGACCAGATTCATGAGGCTGCTGGTGGTATTCTGTGCTTGCTGAGTAGAGCCCATGGAAGACTGCAGTAAGTCCTCAATGGAAATTTTGTTCTTCAGTGCCTGATAGAGCAGCTTTTGTCGGCTAGTCAGTTGGCAGTACATTAAAATTTCAATCTAATGATCAACAAGAAGATTTACACTTGGAAACAGTTTTTAAGAAAATGCAGTATCAGCTTAAAGTTGAACACACATGTAGACCAGATTACTGAGAAAATAATATACATGTCTGAACTCAATTTCTCTATGTGTACTATGAATAATTACACGCAAAAAATTCTTTCCTCGACTTTCTTCTCCTATCGTTTTGCATGTTCTCTGTAGGAAAGCTTTTCAATTTTCTTTCCTTTTTTTAATAAAGTAAATGTAACATCAAATTTTCATTGTTTTTCAATAAACCACGATGAAGCTTAGAACTGGATCACCTGGCCGTTTATCTCCTTATCTCCTCCCAGTTCAAAATGCTCACATCTCTGCAATAGTCAACATTCTCTCACATCTGCAGCTGGGCTCATCACATTCAAGTCTCAGCACGACCTTTATAAACCAAAGACACTGGCTTTGTATTTTAAAAGTGCTATAACCTGCGTACATTAAACTTCTAAATCTAATTTTAAGCAAAAATACAAGAAATAGGTATGTTAGACAACGCCACGACGATGCAACTAAGATGTACGGAAGAAAAAAGGAGGATTTAAAAGACACTTAGGAGACAAAACTCCCAGGTGCTACATGTGGACCTTGCGTGGATCCTGTTGACAAATTTGTAGTTTTAAAAGAGATAAAGACACACAAAGAAAATGGAAAATCTGAGCATTAACCAGATGTGATAAAACGGAATTGTTCTTTTTAAAATAGGGTGTTATTGATATTGTGGCCATGCATTTAAAATAAAAAAACAATATCCACAAGTATTTAGAGATACATGTGAAGATATTTATAAGGGAAATAATATGACATCTGGGATTTGCTTCAGAATAATCAAGAGGGCTGTAGGGAGTGGTCATGCGTTGATCATTGTTGAAGCTGAATAATGGAATGTGGAATGGGGTTAAGTATACTACCTTCTCTACTTTCACAATGTATCAAATTCTCTATCACAAAAGTTTAAAACAAGAAGGAAAACGACTTAATTTGTGACTCATTTTAAGTCCTTTGGTCTATCCGAGTTCTCAAGAGCTTTACAGGTCTCCCTTCAACTAAATATAATCGAGGGAATTCCCATAGGGCACCCTAAATCGATGTCTATCAAGGTTTACATTCATAAGGTCATCTTTCCTTACCTTATCAGATAATTCATTTTCCACATCTTTCTTGATTCTCCTTAGCATAAATGGCTTCAGGATCATATGTAAGCGGGAGAGTTGATCTGAAATGCCAGGAAGCCCCCAAAGAATGTATCATATTGATTTAACATAAAAAACAAAGATAATGTTCATCTCTCACTAAGCTCTTCAAACAACTCTTGACTCAACATTCCCTGAAAGAAGATTGGAACGGAATCTTTCATCCCCAAGTCAGAGGAATCTAAGGAACCTGAATTTTTCATTGCATCTTAAAGGAGGAAAAAGCATTTGGCCCTCATTTATTCAGTGATAACCAACAAAGATCACTGTATTTTCATTTCGATTCTTTCAAGAGTCTTCCAAGTAAATGTTATCGAGTAAGATTTTCACATTCCAGTATTTCCCAGAAATCAGTGTTCTAAGGATATCAACAGATTAACAACATGTAGTATAAGAAATTATTTAAGGATTTTTCTAATAGTAAACAGATATGAATTCATGTCTATGTACTAAACACCTCAGAATTCTCTTAAAATCAGTCAGGTATTATCTAAAAAGTTTAAAATTATTGATAGACAAGGTTTAACAAAAGCTCATAATAGAAATAAATCTGGGGAGGGAGGTTGTCCTTATCATATTTTGTTTTTAACACAAGAACAATACCATCTTACGAAAATCTAATTTTGATATGAATTTCAAGATCTTTCTGGGAAATGGGGCCTATATAGGCCACATGCAGTATTCCTTGAACTTGGCCTATTCTGCCTTGATTAAATAATCACGACAGGATCAGCATCATTTACACTTGTTATCTTTTGACTCGACTGATAATATAAAGCACATATATTTATTTTATAAGGGAACATATATCTTTCTTGGACACTCTCAAGACAGAAGAAACAAAACCAAACCCAAACCATTGCAGTAGCACCAACTCCACCTCATAGCAACCCTGGAGGGCAGAGCACAACCGGCCCAGGCTTTCCCAGCTGTGATCGCTCACCTCACTCTTCCACAGAGCGCTGGTGGATGTGAACCACTGACCTTTATTCTGGTCAGCAGCAGAACCTGTCGTTACTGCACCACCAGGGCTCTTCTTTGAATACTGGGAGACAAAGTCTTCCCAGAGAGCAAACTATACAATTATGTAGTAACCTACATTGATAGGTAGGAAAAATAAAAGCGCATTTTAACAGTACTCACTCTCATCGATGGCAGATTTATTTTCGGCATGGCTCTCAATGTCCTTGGAAAACCATTCATTAAATTCCTCATGTGAATCAAATAATGTTGGCATAATGAAATGTAACAGAGCCCAGAGCTGGAAATAAACAAACAAATGAAACAGCTGTGTGGTCACCAGAAGGCCATGTAGGAGAATGAGGGGAGAAATGCAGGCATGTCTGTCCGCATGAAGACAAGTGTAGATATATTGCCTATGGTTGCATTCACATTATAATGGCAGAATCACATATTTAAATCAGTGACCATATGGCCCACACAACCTAAATTATTTATTATCTGGCCCTTTGGAGAAAACATTTGTTGACTCCTATTCAAAATGACCAATTAACTTTACAAAAACAAAAGTTACTCTAAATATTAAATACTACATTTCAACTCTAGTATAAAAACATCTCTGCAATAAATGGGTAGCCTTTCTTTATGCAGTTACTATTTATTACATAAGAATTATTTCAAAGGAATAAAAAAAGGCATGACCATTACGCTACAGAACGAACAAGCAAAACTGATGTCAACAAGAATACTTAAAACAAACAAACAAACAAACAAAAAAGACTACTTAAAACAAACCATGCTGTGGGGATTGTAATTTGTATAGAGCAGCAGGCTCTCCAGTGGGGCACACATAAAGAATTCTTGGCTAAAAAAAAACTGTTTAATATAGACATAACCCTAGGGACTTGACTAGTGCATACCTCTGCCATGGTGTTCTGAATGGGCGTCCCAGTTAGCAAAAGCCGATTTCGACACTGGAACTGCAAGAGGATCTTCCAACGAACACTGTCCAATAAAATGAGTTAGAAATTGTACGTCAGCAGTATATCTCTTTCTTTAATTACCCTACTGAGAACCAATATTTTATATATATATGCTTTAATAAAAAGTAACAATGACTCAGAATCAAGTACTTCATTTTATATGGAAGATACTATTCAAACATGGTACGTGAATAAGAAACAGGAAAATTGGGCCAGGAAACAGAAAAAAATGACACCCCTATACACAAAAAACAGTATAGTCATGAGTCAGAATTAAATCAACAGTTAATAACAACAACACACTGAAAACATGGTATTGGGGTTTAGAAAAACAATATCCCTCAAGTAGAGTGGAATCCTTTCTGACTTGATGGTATTTTTATATTTTCTCTTGGCTACCTCAGGGTACTTTCTTAGATTGTGATGTTCAATGGCAGGATGGTATTCTCTGGAACTGAAGTTTTCTGCTACAGATAACTAGCTTCAACCTAAGTGGTTTATGTCAACCAAATTGGCCCCAAATAATTGAAGTTATTTCAAACCAGGCCCTCACTTATTACTCACAATTAAACCATAAATATCTTAGAATACCGTATATACGGTACTCGTGTATAAGCCGAGTTTTCCAACACATTTTTAATGCTGTTTTTGTGGTAAAATTAGGTGCCTCAGCAGATATTCGGGTCAGCTTATTTTTGAGTATACAGTGAACCCTCGCCACTTCGCGCTTTGACTTCCGCAGCTTCACTCTATCGCGGTTTTGGCGTAACAGCGCATGCTCTGTCATTACTGCCACTGATTGGCTCATACTGTACACGCTTGATGCCATAAATAATATAATAAATGATAATTGTAACGTCCAAAATGTTTTACTGTATTTTCCCTTTTTCGTTTAATAAATTGGATAATACGAGTGTAATGGTGACTAAAGGGTGTTTTTTCATGTCCTCTATGCTCTAACTACGAAAATATTTGATTTACAAACAAGGAATCCTACTTCGCGGAATTTCATTTATCAAGGTAGGGTCTAGAACCGATTAACCGCAATAAACAAGGGTTCACTGTATATGGTATATTAAGCATGCTTTATTTTAAAAATCTAACTTCTACCCAAAGGACTCTTACGAGATCTAACAGCCATCCAGGAAACGAGGCAGCCTACATAAATAAATTCACAGGTAAAAGAGGCTTCAGTAAGCTCTTGGAGAGCGTACTGGAGTTATTGGAAATGGAATTAAAAGACAATGTATTTTCCATAAACCATAAACCATCAGAAGACAATGTATTTTCCATAAACCATCAACCATCGGAAGACAATGTATTTCCCTTAAACCCTCAAACTGGTGGCCCCTGAGGTAATGTTTTGTTGCCCACGATGCTCTGAAACTCTGAAATAAAATGTAACAAAGGAAGTGTGTATACAGTATTATTGCCTTGATCTCCCCTAAGCGCTATTTTCCTCATAACAATTTTTTCTACTTTCATTTTATTTCAGCACATCATGGGCCACAAAAAATTACCTTGGAGGCCGCATGCCGCCAATGTGGCATCCCTGATTTATATGAATGATTTGATCATTTAGCCCGTCTGTGGGGGGGTGGGGGGGGGGTTGGAAAGGATCTATGGCATTTGGTTACTACTATTTTTCATATTACCTGGAACTACTCTTTAGTGCCTGGGCCTCATCCAGGACCATGTACTGCCACTTTACCCGCTGGAAATACTTTACATCCTGAACCACCAGTTGGTAGCTAGTGATAACCACATGGAAGGGGGCATCCTGAGTGTAGAGAGTCTTCTGTAGATATAAAAGGGAAAGGTGGAAAAAAAAGAGCCCTGTTAATTTATAAGGTAGAGTTATTGCCTATATTTTCTTTTTAATAGCCTATATTTTCTAAGGAGGAGTTTAAAATAGCTCTAAATATGTGTTTCTCATATTTGGCAAGGAGCTATGCAGTGAATTAAACCATAACCACCCTTAAAAATTGTACTCTTAATCATAAACTATGCTAAAATCTAGTCCTCAGCGCACTGAGAAACGTAATTCTGAACTTCAAGCTTAGCAGATGGCCAGTAACAAAGAGCAGAACAGCATCAGAAGGGAATAAGAAGTGCTCTTACTCAGCGACACGTTAGAATTACTCAGACTTGAAAACAACAACGGCACATATGAATGAGAGTTTGACTGAATGGAAGAGAGTTGATACAAGTTTGCTTTTTAGTTAAAAATTACCTGACTCCAGAACCTCCTGATGACTTTTCTATCATGAGGATTTCCCCAATATGGGAGCACCTGGGGAAAAAGGCAGCACGCAGGTTATTTTCTACTAATATCTTGAAAGTATCATCACAGTATAATAGTCAGAATAATTTCTTAAAACCTAATACAACAAATACAAGCATTTTTCTTTTGTCAATGGTGGTATACGTGGTTTATCCAATCACTTTGTTGACAAAATAACATGCACACACTCAAGATGCTAACCTGTTTGAAGGTATGAGAGCTACTCAGAAAGTGAAGAATTATGAAGCCAAGTTCCAGAAATAAAACAAGAAAGTCAAGTGAGATAAGTATACATTTAGTACATTTCCCCTCAATGAAGATGTCTCTTTCAAAAGTTCTAGTTGAGAGACTAGGAGTCTTAGCAGAAATTTTAGAAATGCACAGCAAAATGGAACTTCGAGGAGGGACCTGATAAAATTAAAGTAATGTGACTTCAAAAACAGGATTGTAAAAGGCTCCAGCCTTTCTTCCTGGCTTAGCCATTACTTGCCATGTCATGAGGATGCCAAGTAGCCTATGGAGAGAACCAAATAGTGAGGAACCAGGATCTCCTGCCAACACACGTGATCAAGTCATCTTGGAAGAACTTCGAACACCAACAGGTAAACAAATGACTGCAGCCACTGCCAACATCCTGACTGCAATCTCCTTAAATGACATTACTTTTTTAAAACTAAAAAGCCAATAGAATGCTATCTTCAAAGTGGTGGAAAACTGTCAGGATTCTATACCCAGCAAAAACATCCTTTAGAAATGAAGGTGAAATAAAGGCATTTTGTAACAACAATAAAACTAGAAAAACCATCATCAGCTCACTCAGGCTGAAGGAAATACAAGAGGTGTTCTCTGAACAAAAGGAAAACAATCTCACACAGCCCTCAAATACACAGGAAGGAAGATCAGTGAAAATTATGATTATGTGAATAATATGGGGTTTACATCTTCAAAATCACACTCAAAAATAATAGCAGGTAGTCTACAGGAGGAGGGTGCAGCTATAGAGGGTTGCTATGAGTGGGAACCATCCCAATGACAATGGGTATTAAGTTAAGGTCCTTGTATCATCTTGAAAGTAGTAGTAAAATTATATTATTGCTTTTAAAGTCCAGGATGTTATGTTCTAATCTACATGCTATCTACTAAAGAATAGTTAGAGAATATATAACTAACAAGCTAGAGGAGGTGGAATGGGGACTAGAACAATAAATACAAGTACTAAAGAAAACAAGGAAGAGAAAACGCAAAATGGAACAGGTGAAATAAAGAGAAAGCAAATGGCAAAGCAGCAGATTTAAAGTAACATGAATCTTTACAATAAAAGTAAGCACAAATATGCTAAATGAAAGAAAATACCCCTTAAAGCTAAGAAAGTAAAAGGAAGGGAAATATATTATGTAAAAACTTACCAAACGAAAGCTAATTTATTTATTTGATATCAGAGAATAATATACAAAGGGGTTTAGAAAACACATGGAAGAATTCCATTTTCTTTTTATTCAATGTTTACACATCATTTTTGAAGTTCCCTCATATAGCATAATACACTCAACTACAGAATACAGTTTCCAAACACTCACAAGACTTTCACAAAAACTGCCACACACCGGGCCATAAAAGACACAATAAACTTCAAATGATTAAAATAACACGTTTTTCTGTCACAGGGATTGAAGCTATATATTATTAATGAAAAGATACTTAGAAAGCTCTCTTGTTTGGAAATTAAGAATGATGCATCTAAATAACCTACAGACCTTGCAATGGAAATTAGAAATTATTTTAAACCGAAAGATAATGAAAATGTGACATAAGAGATTCCAGCATGACAGCGGCCTAGAGAGACAAACTATACAAACCCTTTCTAAAAGACAGGATAAAAACAGACAGAGGGGAAAATGCTAAGTAAGCCAAACACTGCCAGAATAAAGAAGGGAACCCATACATACAGGCATCAAGTAAAAGAGTGAATTAACTGATGGGTGGTCATGAGCTGCACAAATCTGCCCACAGGGAAGGGCAGTCTCAAGTACCTGGCAGAGAGAAAGGTGGGACCCCTTCTCAAGCTCCCCATGGCCTCGTAGTCAGCAAAGGTATGACCGGGGCACACTCAGGTGCACCCATCAGGCAGTTTGTACCTCCCACTCTACACCTCCAAGGTTGAGTGACTCTGGAAGGAGTGTCAGTGACAGCAGAGGAGACTGTTGTCGGGGGTACTGAACAATCCTCAGTTCCCCACAGCTCTGGGGTGAGAGAACAATACCATTTACAATAGCCACCCCAAAGGTTAAACACTGAATAAAATTAACCAGATAAATCAAAGACTTACATAAATAAAACTACAAAACATTACAAGATCCAAAACAGAGTATATAAATGGGGAGGGGCGGGGAGATGCTTCCTGTTCATGGATAGGAACACTCAGCACTGAAATAAAGAAAACAAGGAAATCTACAAATATAATTCTAATCTAGATCCCAGCATCAATCTTTAAAGAGATGGAAAAAATAATCACAACTTTATATGTAAAGAAACCCAGTGAAAGTACACTAAAGACGAAGAATAAAGTAGCAGGTCTCTCACTTCTCAACCTTAAAACCAACTACACAGCCGCAGTAGTCAAAACAGCGTGGAATAGGTACAATGAGTGTTACATAGACCAATGGAAGGGAATAAAAAATCCAGAAATACATTCATACACCTACATAAAACTAATGATTGACAAAACTTATCAAATGGGGAAGAGAGTCTCCTCAACAAGTGGCGCTAACATAATGAGCGTTCCATTTGCAGAAGACTACATGAAACACTTCATATACAAATAGAATTCAAAGACCTAAATGTAAACCCTAGAACTAAAGATGACCAATGAAAATATAGAGGCAAACTTAGGGGCCCTGATACATGGCATAAATACACTTCCAAATATAATGGAAAAAACACAGCAAAAGACAAAACAGTTAACTGGAGCCTTAAAAACAAGACACTCAAGTGCACCAGAAGACTACCAAAGGAGTAACAGGAGAACCCAAAATCTTGGGAAAAATTTTGGCAATGATATATCCAACAGCAGACTAATCTATAAAATCTACAGAAAACTCCGACACCTTAACAAGAAAAAGATAAATAACCCAATTGAAAAATTTTCCTTCCTATCCAGCCGTTCCGGAAAGCCGTGTGCCAGAGCGAAGAGCCCCCCACATCCTGCGAGCTGTGCGCCTGTACCCCAATGTCCTCCAGGAAAAACTAGCACCCTGATAGGAGTCCTGACCACCTCTCCATGCTCCAAGAATACAGCGGCTCAGCAGCTGAACACAATTCAGGTTTCTTCCACACACCCTCACCCCCCACAAAGGAAAAAGCACCCATGTCTACTCTAATTTCCACTGCCCCCCGTGCACCGCCACCCCCTAAATAAAAAAGAGCCTGTCTGCTGCTAAAAAGAAAGAAAAAGAAAAACAGAGGACATGAACAGTTTATTAAAGAAGAGATTTAGGCAGCCAACAAACATGAAGAAATAGCTGTGATCACTAGCCACCTGAGAGATACAATGTAAGCCACCGATAACACTTCACCACAGAATTGATGGGAAAGTTCAAAACCCAGAAAACAATAAACGCTAGAGAGGTATGGACACACTGGAGCCCTCGTACACTGTCAGTGAGACAACCACTCTAGAAAGCAGTGTGGCACTTCCTCAAACAACTGGGAAACCAAATGCCATTTGATGCAGTAATCACACTGCTTGGTAGCATAAGAAATCTATCTATATATCTCTCCTATAGGAACAGAGCACAAAAAGATACATGCACACACATGTTGAGAGTAGCACTATGCACTGATATGGCATTTAGGTTATTTCCAGTTGCTTGCTCTCAGTGGAAGAATGGATAAATACAATTTGGTACATATACACAATGAAATACATGGGGGTACTCCCACCAAAAAAAAAAACACCTCGGAATTTTGCAAAGCTATATATTTAAATCTTTTTTTACAAAACAATCATTATCACCTGCTAAGTACTCTCCATTACTCTGAATACATTTGTCAAATCTGTGGTTCCATTCTTGCTCACCGAGTGGGAAAATGAGCCTATGAAAGCACTGCCCAGAGAAGCTTTCTTGTTTTTCTTTGTTTTGCGGGGGAGGGTACCCCCTCGAACTACGCAGCGTGAAAGAAGACGGTGAAACTGTGACACTTCATGACATGGATGGCTTTGTAGGGCATTCCGCAGTGTAGTCAAGCACAAAAGGCAAATATTGTATGGGACCGTTCTTAAAAAAAATCAAAAGAAGGTTTCATTCTGGAAGCAGGATACTGATGGTGACTAGGGCCAGGAGGAGCAGGGAGGAAGGGGAAGTAAGAGACTAGAGCAACGGTTCTCCACCTTCCTGGTGCCGCGACCCTTTCATGCAGCTCCTCATGTGGAGTGACCCCCAACATAACATTATTTTCGTTGCTACTTCGCAACTGTCATTTTGCTACTGTTATGAATTGGGCCACCCCTGTGAAAAAGTCGTTCCACCCCCAAAGGGGTCTCGACCCACAGGTTGAGAACTGCTGGGCTAGAGGGTAGAAAGGTGTTAATTTGGGTGAAGAGGGTAATATCCTATTAAAGGTAAATGGGGGGAAGGGGGAAAAAGCGGGGGGAAGGCAAGCTACAAGGAATTAAAAATGATTTGATATGAAACCACTACCCCAAAATCACGACATTTGTATATATATTAGTATATTAGTGTACCTATCTATCTACCTATATACATGTATATAAAACACAATACATCAAACCTCTGAATAGTCAAAGCCATACGTGGAGGGCAATTTACACCCTTCAGGGCATAAACTTCAGTGCATAGTGTGTTTAAAAGTATTAGTGAGTCAAAAAGAACTGCTACTGGGTATCATGCCTCAAGTCTATTGCAAACAAAGTATGTTGTTTTGTTTTTGCAAACAAAGTATGTTTTAACACGTTTCTGCAATAAGTGAATGGCTAAAGTCACATCAGCTCAATAATATACTTGTCATCGTTTCATTAGAATGCCTTCAAACAAAATGATCCGATCAAAACAGTGGCTTCCAAGGGGATCTATTGGACCAGTTAAATTCAAGGTAGAGAAGTCAGTTCAGAAGGTTATGGTACTGATCTTGGGAGCCCAGGGGGCAGTCTTGACTGATTTTCTTAAAGGACACAGGACAATCATAAAGGCCTTTTGGAAAGACGTTTTAAGAAAATATGAAGCTTCATTAGTTTAAAAAAAAAAGGAGGGGAGCCAGTAAAGTTGTGCTAAAAAATATATATGTATATAAATAAATATTTCCCCCCATGGCAATGCACCTACTCGTTCTTTAAGGTAGCAATGGAAATTTCATTGGGAAACCTTACCTCATCCATGCTAATGCTGCTCTTACCCCTTTATATTTCTTATGTTCCCCAAACTCAAAGAATACTTAAAAGGAAGTTTTGATGTGGTGTGTATCAAAGAATGCAAAATTCTTTGGAGAAGGGTTAGAGAAATGGGTTAACCAAATGCCTTCAGAATTATAGAGACTTAGATGGAGGATTTGTGGAGAAACAATAGATTCAGATTTTGATATTTTTGTTTAATAAAAGTTTCTATTATTTTGTAGTGATTTTTTTTTACTTATCCCAATGCTATTTTAGAAAGAGTTCTGTAACGATTGTACAACTCTTACTGATATGATCCAACTACTGAATTGTCTGATAGGTAGATTATGTCCCAATGAAACTTTCAAAAAGAAACAAAAAATGAAAAAGAAAAAGTTATAAATCAGATTAGACGTGCTCCACTGAAATACAATAAAAAGAAACAAAAATTAAGGGCCATGCAAAGGAAAAATAAAGAGAAAAACGGAGTAGAAAACATGTAATAAGGCTGCCTGCTTTTTAAAAAGCAGATAAGACTGATAATCCCTTTAACAAGATCAACAAAAATAAGAGAGCAGAATAATAATTTCAGGAATGAAAAGTGGTACATTAACTATAAAAGTAAATCATAGGAGAAATGTCATGGGAAATAGGAGAAGTTAGAGGCACTGATCATAGAACTGTAATGAGAATGCTACTCAGAGGACTTGCCAAGCGAACTTTCAGACTGTCATTATCATAGACGTATCATAATATAAGAATGGAAGTCAACTATAAACCTGAACAGAGACTAGTTTTAACTATGTTCTATAGGAAAGTGAATACATTTCTGAAAATCTAAAGGAATAAGAGGTACTTGGACGGTGCAACAAGTTTGCAATCAGTGGCTAACCTAAAGGTCGACTACATGAACCCATCCAGCGGCACCTCAAAAGAAAGGCCTGGAGATCCATTTCCGTAAAGACTACAGTCAAGAAACCCCGTAAAGCAGCTCTACCTGTAACACATGAAGGTCACCATGAGTCAGAAATGACTCGACGGCAATGGGCTTTGTTTGATTTAAAGAAATAATAGCAGTAACAATGGATCAATTGGGCCAGCAAACTTTTCTTTTATGTAGCCAGAGAGTAAATATTTTAGGCTTTGCAGGCCATATGGTCTGTTGCTACTCAATTCTGCAGTTTTAGTGTGAAAGAAGTCATAAATAATACATTTAAAAAGTGTGGTTATGTCACAACATATATGAATTTGAATTTCATAAACCATGTGTCTTGAAATATATTTATCTCTTTACCAACCAGTTAAAACTGTAACAAGAACTCATAGTTAGCATAGTATAACCAACATACAATTGAGCACTTGAACACACAGGCTTTAGATAAACTGATATATGGGTAGGTACAGATGCATACATAAGTGAGAATAGATACAAGTATGTATAACCAGAAAAAGCCAAGCTCATTGCCACTGAGTTGACTCTGGCCTATACAAACCCAAACTTCAAGCTCATTGCCACTTTCTCCTGTGGAGCACCTGGGGGTTTCAAACTGCTGACCTTGTGGCTAATAGCCCTATGCAAAAGCCACTACGCCACCACAGCTCCTTTTTGGCCCATAGCAACCCTATATAAGGCTTCCAAGACTGTAAATCTTATGGAAGCAGTCAGCCTCATTTTATCCTTGAATTGGCTAGGGGGTTTGAAACAGCCACCGTGCAGTTAGCAACCTAACACCTAAGACAGTATCTGCCATCAGGGCTCCTTATAAGTATCCATCACTCACTCACCAGTATCAAGTTGATGCTGCCTCATAGTGAGCCTATAGGACAGGGTAGAACTGCCCCTGTGGATTTCAGAGGCTATTAACAGGCATCATCTAGTTCTCCTGGTCTCAAGGGAGAGGAGGCTGTGGCTCATGTAGACTTGTTTCTTCTTTGTGCTTTGGGTTACCTTTTACTCCTGGTTAGTAGAGATTCATAGTTGTATATTAGATGGCCACTCATAAGCGTTTAAGTCCCCAGATGTGACTCATTTCAATAGGATGTGGACCAAGATTTTTGAAGGAGTTGACCCATGAGGCTGTATGTAGTAACATGATTTGAAATCCATAAACCAGTGTTGGAAGGTGTTCGATTATATGAGGAGTATCCATATTTGCGTGTACAGTGAATATATGTGCCTGCACCCATATATTTATATTGACACATACCTATGGATACTTAAGAAGCCCTGATGGCCTAGTGGTTAAGTGTTGGGCTGTTAACTGCACAGTTAGTTCAAAACCACCTCGGTAGAATGATGAGGCTTTCTACTTCAGCACAAAGACCAGGAGAACTAGATGGTGCCTAACTTCTACTACAGACCATTCTGATCTGACTCACAATAGTTGGTCCTGGATAGAAGGGCTGAAAAATACAGACCAGAAATGAAATTTTTATTGAAAAACAACAAAAAACAAGGCAAATTGGAACAGTAGAGAACCAAGGCCTCCCCGATGTTATCTCCCCAAGACACTCTTTTATCTGAAAACAGAGCCTTTCCAAAATGCATATTTTAGCAAAATAGCAGAGGGGCACACAAAAGAAAAGATATTACAAGTAAGATCATGCCCTACTTAAAAAAAAACATTAGCATGAGCCCAAAGGTTACCATGACTTAAAAGCAAAGATGAGAGTTAAGAGGGAGGGGAACAATAACATCACCAATTTGTGTGGAATTTGTCAAACAGAAACCTAACTTGCTGTACACATTTTCACTACCACTCCAAAAACTCAGTATTATTAAAAACAAAAAACTTTCTTAGCTCAGGGGCTGTAAAAACAGTGGATGCTCGAATTGACCATCAGGCCATAGTTTACTGACCCTCAGACTGGAGTACCAAAAGGAAATTTAATATGCAAATAAAAAGCGGAGTTTCAGGTCAAGAGTGCCAAGGCTTAAGTAGTATCACAATGCCATCTATTGGCAGGCAGAGAAACTGAAAGTGGTTTGGAAATTTTTAAGATTTCAATTTGATTGTTCAATACGTACTGAACATCTTATTACATGTGGTACAAGAATAAGCATATATACATATCTTCTTTAGAAAGAAAATAAAACATAGTGATCTCTATATGCCATCATACTCAAGAGAATATATTCAATAACTGCCTTAAATGGTCTTTCTTCTTGGAAGTTGAGTCACTCAAGCTAAAAGTGACAAGCTTCAATGTGCCCTGTAAACAGTTTTTAAGTTTCCAAGTCAGCCACAAAGGTATCCCTGTAGGATATCCCAGATGTCCCATACGGAACATATGAATGTTACAGAGACCCCAAATCTCAGAGATTATGTCAACATTCCTCAATACACAGCCCCCATAAAAATCTACGAAACTTACTACTATAACACATAAGTAACTTATTCCCCTTTTTATATGAAAACAACAAACCCCATCCACTCCTTTTTTCATCTCTCTAACTATCCATAGGAAGCCTCTATTCAAATTGTGTCCATATCTTTACTCAATGGAACCTGTCTACCTGCTGATCACCCTCTACCTCAATTCTTATCAACTGAAATAATTAAACCACCGTTCACATTTATCTACCTTAGACATTATAACCTGAACTGAGAGCAAAAATCTGGCTTTGGAGAACAGAGGACAGATCCTTGATAAATATACTTGGGAGGGGCAGGAAGAACGACACCATAAATTTAGACGATATCTGACCCGATTTCATGATTTGCCAAAACCTGCTAAATCAGCGAGAGATCATTTTCTGTTCCAACAGTCAGACCATGAGCAGAAATTCACATGGCCTACTGCAGCAAGTCGCTCACACTGACCCGTGGTCTTCCCACTCAGGAAATGTGCACCTGCACTGGGCTCTCTTTTTGCTCCCAATAGTAACTTTTATAGGAAATGTATGCAATGTATTTTGGAAACAAAAATTAAAAACTAGTGGAAGCAATTAGATAAGTCAGTAAGTTTATTTTAAAGCGCAACATAACTTTTTGTTGGATTTATCTTTACCTTAAATTTGGGAACAAATCTAGTAAACTCTTGGTGCCAATTGTTAAGTGTAGAAGCAGGAGAAATTATTAAGAAAGGTCCCCAAATGTTCTCTCTCTGCAACAAAAAAAAGATGGATCAGTGAACCACAGAAAGCTGAAAATGTCTCATTCAAAATTATAATTAGTTTAAAATAAGCAGTTAAGAATAGGAATAAAGTTGCTTGCATACACTTTGAGGAAAAAAAATAGCCAAATAATTTCTCTCTCCCTGGACCTCTTTCAAGTCCTAATTTATATCTTTTGCAAAAGCACTTATGACAGAATGACTTTTATGTTATTTCCCCCATACTAGATTATCCTAACAATTTTTATTATGTAATTGGTTTAGAGCGTTCGCTTTTTCCAAAGTACTTTATTTTTTTTTAATGTGATAAAAGAGGTTACCTTTTACTATTTTCCAAAGTACTTTTACACATAGTATCTCACTTAATTCCTACAAGGTAGCGATCACTCCCATTGCACATAAGATGGCACTACACCTCAGAGAGTTAGAGAGAAATAGTGGAAAAGAGGTTAGGCGATTAGCCTACATTTACACTGTTAGGAAGGGTAAAGTTGAGAAGTGAAATCAAGTCTTCTGAACTAACTACAATGTTCGCCCTCTTCAACTGGTGGTTCTCAATCAGGGACGGGAATTCAAACCACACGTGATCAAAAACTACGCTAGCCCTGTAGAAAACCATAGTGCTATACTATACTCTGCTCCTTCAGTAAAGGTCTTAAGCGCAAGAACAATCTTATTGTCTTGGTATGTTACCGAGCCTAGCTCAGTGCCTTACAAGTGGATGGTACTCACTAATCAGTGAATGGCTGAATAGTAAGACAAGTATACAAATATTAGTAGAAAATGGCTACAGGATCGAGAGAGGAAGATGGAAAAATTGCATGTACCCACCTCAGCCAGATGGGCCAGGAGAGCAATGCTTTGTACTGTTTTACCAAGGCCCATTTCATCAGCAAGGATGCCATTAATACCCTGGGGGGGGGAAACACATATATCAACACCGTCTGCATTCCAACACACAGTGCTTACCCAACTGCCAAGAGAACCAATCAAAACAACAGGTTTATTTAAGCCATCGTTGAGTAGAGATACCTAACTTCAGCACTATTATACTTTGCTATAATGATTCCTGTTGCCAATTCTATACCTAAAACTATGAACCTTAAAAGAGGGCATAAACAGCCCAACTGTGAACCATAAACAGGTTCTTTAGCTAATGTAACTCAGGTATAAAAGCAAACAATCAGGTTTACTATGAACACAAAAAAACTACATGATAGAAGTATTTTCCAGGTTATAAATAGAGACATCTTTCTGTCTCTTGTCAAAGAATAGAGCTTCAAACGAGAGCCGAACATTAAGAAACGATGCCATGCTCATTCTATAATGATACAGAGCCAACAACTTTAGGAACAGCTAACACTCGAAAGGGAGTGGGAATGACAAGGTCAGATATTCACCTGTTCATAGAGATTGGCCAACCAATTCATGCCTTTCAGCTGATAACCTTTCAATTTGCCATTAAAAATCGTGGGCTGTGGAATATCCTCACCGGCCCGGATAGATGGGTTTGCCAAGCTATAGCTCTCCCCAAACCCAGTTCCAGACTTGTTGGCTGCCCGTAGAGCAGCTGCTCGGCTTTCTTTTGCATCTTCATCAAATGACCTTGTCTGGAAAATATTAGACGAAAAAAATACTAAATGTAAATAAAATCTCCAGTGCCAGCATCTATACCCTGTGTAAGAAAAACAACTAGGATAAAATTATGACGGCATAATCCAACATCATATAAGATGATTTTATATACAAAAGAGTACATTAAAGCATATTACTACTTTAGTTAGCATGATCATTATAAAGACATCAGAATGTAATTTTGTTGATGGATTTATACTAATCCATATTACAATATAACTGCTTCATCAAAGGATTTGCTAAAGATCTGGTTGGTTAGAAAAGGGGGAAAAAGTCACATTTGTGTCTATCCTTGATTTGGACACTGTCAAAGGTACATCAATTTAATAAATTGTGTTTTCTTTACTCAATTCAACTTAACTGCAAAGTTTATTTCTCATTTCAATATTCATCACTGTATCACAAGTACCAGAGAGCAAATTATTACTAAAATGTGTGTGTGTGTGAAAGAGAGAGAGATGTAATTTAGCAGTCTCCCGAGACACGATGACTCTTTTTTTCACAAACCACCACAGTACATTTATATATGAGTTAATGCCCACGATGACTCAAGAGGGCAAAAATCTAGGCAAACTGTCCTGGCCTCAATTCAACACACTTACACAAGTAAGTCCTGACCCTACACTCACTCATATACACACATATACCCATATTGGTCAGTGCCTTAACTGGAAATGAAAAACACTAAGGGAAGGTGGTCCTTTAAGTACAAAGGTTGTAGGGTATTTTCAGGGTCAACTGCAGTTTATCTTTAAGACTCACCCGAGCTTGATGAATATGGTAGGCATTTTCAGCATTCTTCAGGGCCTGGGTCTTAAAATGATTACTATCTGAAAAAGGAAAATGTGTATATTATCAGATGATCGCCTCCAAAGAAGGAGTCCATATGAAGACCCCTAAGTCCCTTATTCTACTTCTCTTTTGAGTTCCTAGGGTTGGGGAAAGGCTCCACTTCTTTTACTGATGAGGTAAGAGCTGAAAGAGCAACAAAGGCAGAGGGCTGCCATTGTTCTCCAGTAGATAAAGCCAATTCACAAAAACCACACAGGGACTTAGCTCTACTGGTTCCTAGTCATGGGTGGTTTTTTTTTCCTGAAGCAATGTGACAAGTCAGCACAAAAGAGAAGGAGGATTCAAATTTTAATAGCCTTGATGCTGGGGAAACTATCCCAGTTGAAGAAACACAGATGATGTATAACCCACAAGATACTTTGAAGTATTCACCTTCCTCTTTTATTCCTAACTGAACATCATCTTGGCCACTAGTCATGGTAAGCCTCCTCTCAAACTTGACCCTCCATTTGGGGCACAAAAATACCCAGACTGAATACTTTTCCTCATGTTTGCATCACCAAGAATCTTTTTATATGAGAAATTATTCTCTCTGCTGGCATATGTTCCCTTAACTTTTCCAATTCAATACCTGTTATTTCTATAAGCAAAGTAAAAACAGTTAAAATGTCCCCTAATTTACAAGATTATATAACCATATCCTAAGTTCTCTAATAAAATTGATTTTAGATAGTTGTTGTACATACACACACTCCCATTTCAACGTAATAATCCCTCTTTTGATTTATTGCCTAAGCAATAAAAATAAAAATGGTAAGAGTTAATAACATATATTAATCGTAAAAAAAAAATTTAAACATCCACCAAACTAACTGCCATCAATTCAGACCCACAGTGACCCTATGTAGGATTTCTAACACTGTAAATCTTTACAGGAACAGACAGCTACATCTTTCGCCTGTGGAGCAGTTGGTGGGTTCAAACTGCCAACCCTGGGTAAGCAAGCCCAATGCCTAACCCAGAGCGTCTCCAGGGATCCTTCTATCTAACCTCAGATATGAAAATTGGGCAGGTACCACTTCCTCTAGTTCTTGAGTCAGGCCTCACCATAATCTTCTTGTGTGATATTTACTACCACACCCCCACCAATGTCGATCTGTCTCTGAGAAGAACTGTCCTCCAGTTTTCTGAGGATTTCTTCTTGGATTCCATCGTGACCCATGTCTCGTTTGCGACTCATGAAATGGGCATACAACTCTGTCTGCGTGATTAAGAAGTTCAGTTTTCGCTGTTGTCTCTTGGCCTAAAGGAGAAAAACAGTTATGAATTATGTCCTCCTCCTCAAAAAATGTTTAAATTCTGACCTCTATGTCCCATATGGGAATGTTATCTTTTGCAATATTAATGAGATAGGACTGGTACAGGATGTTTTGAGTCAATCTTTTTAAAAATATAAGAGGAGCACATTAAGGAAGCAGCGATAGGGGAAGAGAGATATGAAGTCACATGGAGATGGTTCAGAAATAGAAGCTCAAAGAGACAAGGACCTTTCTCTAACGTGAACAGAGGAAGTCTTTTCTTAGAGCTCACACCCCTGAATTCACACTTCTAACCTTCTAAACTGTAACAAAATAAAATGGCTTTATTCCCTGATCAACAAAGATGAAAATTAAAGCCATTTTTGTTGTACTTCTGTTACAGCAGCACTAGATAACCAAAACAAGTTAAAAAGGAAAATAACCTAATTAGCAATTATAACCAAGAAGCAGTCAACCCAATAAACCTACATAGAAAAGTGTGTGGAGAAATTATTTTTTCCACATTTTTGAAACCTCCCTCTTAAATAGTTTGCATACAATTTCTTTACAAATCCCTTACCTTTAAACCAAAGAAACAAAAAAATCCAAAACCAATACCATCAAAGTAATTCCAATTAATAGAGACCCTATAGGATAAAATAGGCGGCCCTTTTGTGTTTCTAACACTGTTAATCTTCACCAGAGGGGACAGCCTCAGCTGGTGGGTTTGAACCATCAACCTTATGGCTTACCAGCTCACCCCAAAACTCACTAGGACACCAAGGCTCCTTCCTATAGAAAAGTAAAAATTACTAATGAATAACTATTTTCAGTACTACTAAAAGCAAGCAATAACCTTCATTTGAAGTCTAATGAAAACCAATGTTTTCATGCAATAAGAAATCTTATTACTCAAACCCACTGCTATTGAATGATTCTGACTTATAGTGGCCTTACAGGGCAGAGTAGAATTGTTCTAAGACCGTAAGTCTTCCAAAACAGAAAGCTTTATCATTCTCCCAGGGAACAGGTGGTGGATTTGAACGGCAGACTTTGCAGCTAACAGCCCAATGAAACCCACTGTATCACCAAGGCTCATTATTCCCATTAAACTTATCTAAATCCCTGTTTTCTCTTTGCTATACTACTTTCCTGTAACAGAACTGAGACACAAACTAAACACATCTGGTTTCACAAGCTGGGTACTGGATACATGGACACTGCTTAATTACTTTTAAAAATGTGTGCGTCTCAAATACTCTTCTTTAACACTAAAACTCAAAATATGTGACTAGGAGGTATGAAATATTTCAAAAGTCAATTCAAGAGGTTTTCAAGAAGAAAAAGAAAAAAAAGAAGAAGAAAAGGAGGTCAGTTAAAGGAAGAACGCACCCCCACGAACAACCTACACAACGTATGGCTTACCTGTGATAAAGATAAAAATAAGCTAAACATACATCCTTTTCAAAACATGGAAGACAAATTCAAAATAACTCTGAAATACCAATTATGGAAAAGAAGCATTGGGTAAATTAAATGAAAGCATTCCTCAGCATATGAACAATGAGTAAACAAACAATCTAAAAGACTGTATTATATGCTAAGTCAAACCCACTGCCATTGCAATGGGTCAATGCCGATAGCATACAGGCTTTCTGAGGCTACAGATCTTTACGGGCGCAGAAAGCCTCAGCTTTCTTGCACAGACCAGCTGATTGGCTTACCCAAGAAGAGCACCAGGGCTCCTTGATATACTGTAAATATCAAATTCAATAGGGACTATTTTAGAAAACTCTCATATTAAAATTCATGAACCACATAAAATTCGTATGAAAAACATTTGATTTAACCTTAAGCCACCTCCACAAAACAAACAATAATAAGGAACATAACGAAGAAAAAGTCCCCAGAGTGCACTTTATAAAAGTATGCTACCTAAAATCATTCCTTCTCTGTAATTTTGTAACATTTGAGCCAGATTATGAATTATTTCTAAAGACCCATTTGAGAGGAAATGAAGGAATTTTTAAGTATTGAAATGTTCCAAAGCTAAAATGCTGTAAACAAAACCTTTCTAAACTTAAACAATAAAAAAAAAGTGTCTTTTCACTTTTAAGCATGTGTGTACATAAAGTAAATTAAGGAAATAAAACCCATCAAAAATAGTTTTATTTCAAAAAAAACAAAAAGTTTTATTCCAAAAGTTCAGAAAGTTACCTAAGTCAACAAAATCACAGTTGCAACTCCCAACAGTCAGTTATCAATGTACTTGAGAGAATGCCTTACAAACCTAGATCATAAGCCAAGCTCAAGCTCAAGAGAGTTAATTCTCAAATGCATCTAAACTCAGTATGCATTTTCAACAGCATCACATATTTACTCTCCATAGACTCAAACTGCATGCAAAGATGCAGACTACCCAGAGGACCTTCATGAACTAGACAACACCCTCAAAGGAGTGACGAAAGAAGAAAAGATCAAGAGAGCTCTGAAGAGACTCCAAAGTTTCACTGGGGGGAAAACAAAAATCTTCTAATCCCTAATTTCCTTCTCCAAACTTGTTTTTCCTCCATTCATCCCAACCAATTTACCAATAGCAACACAACAATTTTGCCCTATTAATTCTCTCTTGCTGGTTCAATACACATACAGCTGACATCACCCAACCTTTGGTCTAGCAATAATATGGTTGGTTGTACGTTAAAATAGGAGAGCAGGAAAGATGAGGGAGGAGAAAACTGGGTTTGAAATCCACTATCCTAGCTGGCAGGGTCCTGGTGGAGTAATGGACTAAGCACTGAGTTGCTAACCACAAGGTCTGCAGTTCCAACCCACCAGCCACTCCCCAAGAGAAAGCTGAAGCCGTCTACTTCTGTAAAGATTTAAAGTCTCAGAAATCCAAAGGAGCAGTTCTATTCTGTCCCATAGTGTCCGTATGAGCCAGAACTGATTTGTTGGCAGTGAGTTTGGATCCTTAGCTGGCCCTAAATTTAGTGTGCTGCCAGGAACTGACAACAGATCAAACCTGGAGCCAGCACCTGTTTTGTTTATCCCTTTTCTTTCTCCTTGGTTGTTGTTGTTCCTTCAGAAACACGGCAAAATCAGGCTCTATAGAGAGGGAAGGCAAAAAAAAAAAGAAAAGGGAAAAACGGGAAAAAAAAGAACCTAACGAAACAAAAAAAAAAAACCGGGTTAAAACAAAAAAAGCCCCAACCCAAAAACAAGGCCTCCAAAAACAAAAACAAAAAAAAAAAAAACCTGGCCTTCAATTGTTAGTTTTATAATTCATAGAGTGCAAACCTATTTCTTGATATGGCTTTTAGAGTCTTCCAAAAATGTATGCTTTTCTCCTACCTCCCGCATTTCCTCATCCAACTTGCGCTGCTCCAAAGCTTCCTTCTCTGCGCGCTTCCGGTGCTCCTTCTCCACCTTCTCATACTTCTTCCAGTACAGAAGCATTTCCTTGGTGAGGCGGCGGGCCCGAGGCAAGGTCTCCTTACAGTTCTTCTGAGCCTGCAGAGCCGCACGACGCACCTCCTTCATACACTGGTGGGCCAGCTGCAAAAGACAACAATATTCTCATAACAGGGAGGAGCCAGTGTCTGCACCCCTTCTTGGGATCTGCACCACAACAGCTCTCACTGTTTAATACACAAACCCTCCTATGGGCATGTCTTTCTCTCTGCCCCTGACTGCTGACTACTGCCATGACAGTGAGCCAGTCCCACATACCTGAGATAACAAAAAGGATGAGAAATCCACAGGCACATTACCTTAGATCAAACAGAGGTTCAAGTGTATGTGTACAACTCTTTTTACTATCTTTATTATCTACTGAATTGTGAATTATGTCAATAAAACGGCTTCAAAATAAATAAATAAATAAATAAAAGCTGCCTTTGACCTTAAAAAAAAAAAGCACAGAGCGGGGGGAGTGTGGAGTGGAGACCCAAGGCCCATTTGTAGGCCATGGGACATCCCCTTACAGAAAAGTCTCAGGGAGGAGACGAGCCAGTCAGGGTGCGATGTAGCGACGATGAAAAATACAATTTTCCTCTAGTTCCTAAATGCTTCCTCCTCCCTCACTATCATGATCCCAATTCTACCTTAGAAATCTGGCTGGACCAGAGGATGTACACTGGTACAAATAGGAACTGGAAACACAGGGAATCCAGGGTGGATGATCCCTTCAGGAC